TCAGCAGGTTGTTCCTTTACCTCCTGGGCCAGGGGCCACGTGGCAGGATCTCTGTCCTTCCCTTCCTCATCCCCCACCTGTGGGTCCAGCTTGGGCTGCCTGTGTCCATGGCCCACCCACCACACACTCACGCACACCCTCTCAAACGCACACTCACACACACGTATCTCCCACCTGTGGATCCAGCTGAGCTGCCTGTGTCCACAACTGACTTCCCACACACACTGTCTCTCTTACACACACTTTCTCACACACACTCTCTCTTGCACACATACACACACTCTCTCTTACACACATTATCTCTCACACACACACATTTCCCACCTGTGGATCCAGTCTAGCTGCCTGTGTCCATCCCCACACACACACTCTCACACACATGGGTACCCTCACATACACACACTCATACACCCACTCTCTCACACTCACATACACACACTCTCACACTCACGCTGTCTCACTCACTCACGCACACATCCACAAACACACACGCATGCGCTTACATACATACTCTCACACATACACACGTGCACATTCTCACATGCACACACACACACACACACACACTGTCAACATTCAGACACATTCGGGCACAGAATGCACACACTCATACATACACACATGCACAGATTAGCATGTCCATACACCTGTACAGTTCATGTGTGTTTACATGTATACATATGCATGTGTGCACACACTCACATACTCACTGATATACATATAACAACACATGCATGCATGGATACATGCACAAAATGTACACATATCCACTCATGCATACATATATACACATGCCTGACCACCTGTGTGCATACATTCACCTGCTTATATTCACACACATGAAGACATGCACACATGTGTTCACACACGCATCAACACTCACTGACACATGCGTGTACAGACTCAGTCACATACACACTCACTCATGTACATGCACACACACATGTGCATGCACACATTCATCCCCATACAAACACAGACACACGTGTGCTTTTACACTCTCACACCCTGCCTCTCTGCTGCCGGCACGTGCCCATCACCAGGAGTGACACATTTGTAGCATCCAGGTTGTGACTGAGCAGGCTCCACGTCCTTTCCCGGGAGGGTCTGTACCCCAGGAAAGTGAAGGTGGTGCCTACATGGGCAGAGAGGAGCGTGGTGGGTCCAGCACCACGCGGAGGTGCCCTGATGAGGGCACCCTTGTCCCCCACTGATGCTGGGCTCCCTCCTAGTTGGTAGGAAGTGCACTCTCTAGAGCTGGTCATCGTGCCCCTCCTGCAGCAGCTGGCCTCTCTAAGAGAGCTGGAGCTGGACAGGTGGACGCA